TTAATTAATAATAATGAGGAGCCACTACTCTTCCTCCATTGAAAAGTAACGTCCCAACCTATATTTGCAACATTGATTATTTAGCTTAAATGATTTAATTAAAAGGAATAGAAGAAAATTGTAACGTGTAAAACTTTAATAGTGGATTATAACTTATCATAGACATATGTCCGGCCAAATGAAAATCAACATTAGAATTTGAGATTTAAAATTATTTCTAGCAAAATAAATGAACAAAGTATTATTCATTTGAAATACTCTCAATATTTCCAACATGTTGCCCACTCTATCCAATATGGATGTTGCGTTTGTGAAGAGCTTTAGTTTTAGCAAGATGAAGTTTCTACTCTAGGCTTTTCAGTAGAAACAAGTTTTGAGTAAAATATACGGAGTATACCCCTGAACCAAGTCGACATCCTTCTATAACCTTAAATTAGCTACGACGTAAGGGGCTAAGTGGTGTTTTGGAATATTGACTTAACGGGACAGAAACGTTAGCAGGGAAATGTAAGGGTAAAGAAGACATAATAAAAGTAGGGTTCCATTTTTTATATGCAATGTACAACTTTTAATGTAGTGTGTTGACACAAATTAAGGATATCAACCCTCATTCATAATTATAACGTTGTTAGATATATACGATATTATACATTGATGATTAAAGATTTTGATTGTCAATATTTTGTTCATAATTGTGTTCCCTTGGACTTATGTTTTCAATAAGTAAGTGAGAACTTATATGGTATAACATAAGGTCCTACAATAACTCCAATCATTGATCATCAAGAAAGGGATATTGATAATATGCGATAAAATTAGTATGTGGACAACATCATACTTTTAGAAAGTATAGTTGATCTCACAACTATGAGTTCCTGTAATTCATGATGGTCATATAGATATTTTAGATAATATTGGCATACCCGCCGAGAACCCATTTGATAAGCTCTATTCATGTGTCTATGGGATTATCAGCGTATCAAGTAATGTAATAGTCATCCGACTTGAAGTCAATACATACTACATGTGCGGAGTGATGTGCTTTGACCAGGACCAACACTTGCACTCTAATCAGGGTAGACATGACATGTGTTGGGTACATCATGAAGCATATGGAGTAATGGAGTAGTAGTTGAGCCAAGAAAGGATTCATTTCTCGTAATAGATTAAGAGAGAACATTATACTTCTCATATCTAGATTGATCATAAAGTCATTGGGCTATGCAAAGATATATTCGTTTTGGATCATTTAGAAAGATTGAAAGATACAGACTAAGTTATTGGAATAGACACAATATCAAGTTCTAGACTTAGTTGAATGTTCGTTGAATGAAAGGACCGTATCACTATGAGCTCTCTATATTACAAGGAGTTTGAACAGTTCTCGCAAACGTCCTTATATAATAAGTTTGTCTGGAGAATCATCTAGGGTTTCGCTAAGACCTTAATTTGATTAGAGATTAATATATGAGGCCTTATGGGTCACACAACAAGTGATTATACCTTCCTAATCAATTTTTAGAAGGAATTAAATATCTATTGGATTAAATAATATTTAATTAGTAATACTGGAAATGGATTAAATATTAATTAGATTAAATATATTCAATTCATGATATTGAAGGAATGTTCTATTTAATAGAATTAATTAAGTGTGATAAATTAGATTTATTATACTTCATTAAAATATATGTATTATTAAATAAAGTTGATATTTTCTATTGTAATTTGGAATTAAAAAGAAAAGTAAATGCAATAAATAATAATATATACTACGTAATAACTAGAGACTGGCGTACAACCACCTCTCCATTATTTTTATTATTATTTTGTTTTATTTTATCTACTTATTTAATTAATAACGAATTTTGATCCTGACAGGATTAGAACTCATTAGTGAGAAATACTATCATTGTGATTGAGAAACTAGTTTATAACTAGTATAATAAAATCATCTGCCTTTATAATTAATAGACTAGTTTTTCTAGATTCAGTATTATCAGTTTATTTCCTTACGAAGAGATTTCTTAGTCTTTCTCTTTGAGAGATCTAACCGTTCTTTCGGAAAGGAGAAATCACGTGGATAGGTCAAGGATTATCATCGCTAGGCTGAAAAATCTGTAAGTTCTAACTCAGATATATTATTATTATTATATCAATTGTTTTGTCATAATTAGGGAAGATCTATTTGGGAAAATTTTAAACTTCCGTTGTTGTACTTTCGAGGTACGTTACATCAATTTCTTAACAGGTATCAGAGCAAAAAGATAAGAAAAAAAAAGATAAGGTAAGATGAAAAGATAAGAAAGATAAAATATAAAAAAAACATAAGAAAACTAAAAGATAAAAAGATAAGGATTAAGAGAGAGAGAGAACATATCAATTGTTCACGTGAATATGCATCCTTCACTTTGCTTTCTCCAGAGTTAAAATCATAATTGAAATGTACTCCCTCCGTCCCATTTAAAGGTTCACGTACACTATTCTCCGGTCAACGTGCATTGTTCTTAATCTTTTACTTTTTATATCTAAAGTTTATGAAATTTTAATTATTTTTTGCATGTTTTGTAGCGGGTTTAATGTAGTTTCTGAATATGTAAATTTTATTTACTAAAAATAATTATATTAATGACAGGGATCAGTTAACTTTATGGTCAATCAAACATCGTAAATCGTGTGGGAACCTTAAAGTGGGACGGATGGAGTAATTTTTTTTGTGAGACCAATCTTTGGTTAATTTGAAGGCTAAAGGGTCAAATAGGTACATGAACTAACTTAAAGTGTTCAATTAGCCCCTTATATAGGAGGTTCTGCCCGGCCGTCGCCAATCGGGGCGGTTCCCGGTTGAATTTTTCGATGAAATTTTTTGAGCATCTTCTTCGTTAAGTCTAGTTTACCCATATCAAATTTCAGCTAAAAATTAAATTGGGAAGACAGTCAAATGATTTTCCGAAATGTACTGCGCTGTTTAACTGCGCAGTTATCTTCAAAAAATCATTTGACTGCCTTCTCGGTTGAATTTTTAGCTGAAATTTGGTATGAGTAAACTAGGCTTAATGAAGAAGATGCTCAAAAAAATTCATCAAAAAATTCCACCGGGAACCGCCCCAATTGGCGGCGGCCACGCAGAACCTCCTATATAAGGGGCTAATTGAACACTTTAAGTTAGTTCATGTACCTATTTGACCCTTTAGCCTAATTTGAATAATGTGAAGCAAAATTCAAGCATTGTAGCCCCTAATTTTGGGAAGAAAATTGATTTGGGAGGACGGTTGTAAAATATGAACCTGCAGGCATGTTTTAACCCTTTTTAGCAATTATTATGCACATATTTTTGAAATTGTTGCACGCGTGAGAGGGAGGGTGTAGATTCTTTGTTTGGAAAGAGCAAAGTGAAATTCAACAAGTACGAAATCTAAATTTCAGCTTGTATTGGAGGCCAAAACAGTGCTATATGATGTACGAGAGTAACTAATTTACATTTCTAGTGGAGTTTTCCATGTCAAAGTAGTCATGCATTGTGGGATTAAAGAAAATAAAAGTTTTAGATACTTTGTAGGAGTTGTATCTGGTAAAGTCCATCTTTAATTTCTGGCAAAGTCTGTTGATTTCTTGGTGAAACACTTCTTTGGTTTAGCTTTTTCATATTAAGTATGTCAGACATCCAGCTCAAAGCCATTCTACCTTCAGAAAAGTATGAGACTTATCATAACGTGTTTCATGTGCCTGTGATCTTATTGATGTCCATTGAAAACATAGTTCTAAACTATCTCGAAGACAAACTCAATAAATCTATGTGCGTTAAGTTGAAAATGCTTGATGATGAATTTCAAGTGTTTGTGGGATCCCAACTAAATCTTGACGATATATCAAGGAAATAATTTGTGGACTTCGAGTAGTATTTACGGCAACTATTGAAATCATTGATTCAAATGAAAAAGACACATGGACGTGTAATTGCACGTTCCAGGGAATCCTCTCCAATAGTACTCATGGGCGCTCTCATTTAAAAGATGCATGACAGCATGACCATGGTGCTTGGAATGTTCAAGTTGCTCGTTTTTCTCCACCTGCATAGCTTGCCCCTTCCGTTGTCCCTTTTTATCATTGCTTTAAATGATGAAGATTCCCAAATGCCTAATTGCACTTTCCAGGGAATCCTATCCAATAGTACTCATGGGCACTCTCATGTAATATATAATGAGGTAAGTGTGTTAAAACATTTTAATATTTGTAAGTTTTATTCTTCTGGATTGTTGTAAGCACATGAATAACAATGGTTTTTTTAATTATGATTTGCATGAGTCTAAACCTACTTACTGATGAACAAGCATGAAAAATACTATTTCTGATTTAGCTACTCATCATTCATCACCAGTGGTCCAAGAATGTTTGCAAGTTCGTTTACTTCAAACATAAAGATTATTTAGACACTAAACTACACACCAAGTGTGCATTGGCATTGTGGTTTGGAGTATCCTTTGTATGTTGGGAGTGAAAGCATTCGTAAGTTTTTTGGGTGTCAACGATGGAAGGTATACAACAACAACAACAACATCCAAGTCTTGTTACCAAAAGATTTTAAGGTGGGCTAATTTTAACCGATTCATGGTATCAGAGGCATCAGAGCACAAAGAGAAGAAAGATAATAAAAATTAAAAGGTAAGGTAAGATAAAAATAATATAAGAACATAAGAAAGATAAAAGAACATAAGAAATATAAAAGATAAAAATAACATAAGAAAGAAAGATAAAGAAGATAAGAGATGAGAGAGACATAGAGAGAGAGAAGATATCAATCGTTCACACGAATATGAGTCCTCCACCTTGATTTCTCCAAAGCTAAAATCATAATTGAAATGTAACTTGTTTTTGTGAGACCAATTTTTGGTTAATTTAAATAATGTGAAGTGAAATTCAAGGAAATGTAGCCTTTAACTTAGGGATGATAATTGATTTGGAAGGACGGTTGTAAATTTTTTTTTTTGCAAAAATAAACCCGTCATCATTATATTAATAAAAGATCATTTGCCATCAGGCTTACAATACTTCTGGGAATACTCTCATAACTAAAACTATGATCTGAGATGCTAACATGTGATCTCGCCAAGGCATGAGCCACACGATTCGCGGACCTTTTGCAATAAGAGATACTAAAAGACCTCTTTGTGTGTATCAAGAAGTGGATATCATCAAGTATAAGATCCATATATGCCAATCCTCCTCTCTTGCCAAGTCCCCGTACCACCACCTGAGCATCAGATTCAAAATCAACAAGGTCCCAACCTTCCTTAATAGCTGTTCTGATGGCCTCACGAAGACCATAGGCTTCAGCCTCTTCCGGAGACCAGTGTGCTTCGCGCGAACCTCCCCCTGCCTTGATAAACTCTCCTTGATCATTCCTTGCCACCCAACTCCAAGCTCGAATGTCCTTTGTCAAATCTAGTGCAGCGTCCACGTTCACCTTAATCCTCCCTGATCGCGGTTTGACCCATCCCGCGCTGCTAGAACCTCCGCTGCTGCTCCCAACTCCCGCAACCTGCTGCTGTGCATCGCGCCATGCGCGTAGAACACTTGCACAACCGTTAAGCAGCCCGGCAGTTTGCTGCCAGTCATCATTCCACACAAACGAGTTCCTCCTATTCCAAACACCCCATAACGCCATTGCCACCTTACAACTTGTTTCCTTGTCCGGCCCGGAGAGAAGATTCTGCAGCCAACTCTTCAGAGTAATATCACCATTCCCGATAGGTACACCTGCAATCCTGTTTTAACCCGCATTATCAATTATTTATGCACATATTTTGAAATTGTTGCACGCTTGAGGCCAGAACAATGTTATATGATGTACAAGAGCAAATAATTCACATATGTGGTGGAATTTTCCAAGTCAAAGTAGCCATGCATTGTGAGATTAAAGAAAATAAGAGATTTAGATACTTTGTAGGAGCTGTAATAGTTGGGATTGTGACAATGTGTATCTTCATGTCTCTAGGAGTACAAAGATGAAACTAATGGAGTTTTGTCTCATTCTTACCTTGTAAGACTTGAAAAAATTGGAATACAAGGATATTAAGAAAACACAACAAACATATGTTGTGTGTTATGTGATTTGGAGTGAAACACTTTTATGAAATAAAGTAGAAGATAGTAATTTTGGATTAGGCACTTTGTGAAGAATGAGCCAAAAACAATTATTTATGCACTCACCTAATTATTTTGGATGCACATCCCAACAAAATAATGGCATAATCCCTTTACATTATTATTATTATTATTATTATTATTATTATTATTATTATTATTATTATTATTATTATTATTATTATTATTATTATTATTATTATTAAGATGTATATGTTGCAAACCCACTCATTAACTCTTGGTACCGAATTCTAAGTCATAGTAATGTCATGACATCTGCGGCATAAATAAATGATAACATAACTTGTCCACAAAAATTACAAAAGTGGTGTTTCCATAGTGACTACGGCCAGTTAGTGGTGGACTCGGCCCGGCCCGGTTACTGTTTGGCCCGGCCCAGCCCGGGGCCCGGTGGGTCCACCGGTTCGGTTCGGCCCGGCCCGGCTGCTGGGCGGTTCGGGCTCGGGCCCAGTTTTTGGTGAACCGGTTCGGGCCCGGTTCGGGCCGGTTTTTAATTTTTTTTTTTTTTTTTGAAATTTTTTTAAGTTTTGGGTTGGATTAGGTATTTTGGGCCATTTGAGGTGGTTTGGGGTGGTTTGGGGTTGAGGGGGAGGGGTTGGGAGTTAAATAGAAGAGCCAAAAAAAAAAAAAAAAATTAGAACCGGTTAGGCCCGGCCCGGCCCGGTTTGGCCCGGAACCGCCCACCGGCGGTTCGGGCTCGGGCCCAATTTTCCTGGCCCGAGGCCCGGCCGGGCCCAGGCCCGAACCGGCTCGAGTCCACCACTACGGCCAGTACACATAATCATAAACATAAAAGGGGCAAAAGGGCAATATGTGATCTATTCTAATGTTAACATGTCATTACATTCAGAAGGGGCACTTATAGACATGAATAATACATAACACAGTACAAAAGAACACATTACGAAACAAAGGGGGTTTCATTGCTATACAAATCCACTTTAGAAGTTCACTTCTACATTCACTTCTTCAGTCTCCCGATTCCCAGGTTAGAGTACATGCTCACTTCGAATTACTAATAATATATTTAATATATTATTTTATATATTCTTGTAATCGGTAAATACCGAAAAGCAAAGTGTGTGTGCCGAACAGAATACGGAATTTTCAAAATTGTACATACCGATTACGGAACCAAAATTTTAGTTCGGTATATACCGAAATTTTTGGTGCCGGTTTGGTTTGGTCGGTTTACCGAATTGTGCACACCCTTACCTTGGAGCAGCAATTATCAACATATCTTTTGGGTCATCACCCTTGTCAAATGTAGCACACACTGCATAAGGAAAAGGAATTTCATTTAAGTCCTGTGCTCTGCAGGAGCTAGATCTTCCTTGTAGTTGCATTTTAAACTGATGTCTCCATCTCTTTACCTCGTAGACATTGTCCATACTAAATATTATCTGTTACGTTCACAAAAGTCCGATATTATAGGTTTGCACATACAATAAAAAAGAAGAAATGACATATATACTACTAATATAATATAGTTTTACAGGATAAGTATATGACTCGTCAGGCCGGCCTGACTTATATTTACCGAACAAACCTCCAAGATCGTTGCTCATAGCCTATCTATCACTAACTTATCAACTTGTTTTGTCCTAATTATGGCCTATTCCACATCCTTAATAGTGCTCTCTCATAAGTCATAATTGAAAGCAAAATTTCTGAAATGTATACGCGTTTGGTTGTGATCCGGTTTTGTAGAGGCTCGGAGACATGGCCCCCCAAACAAATAAAAAAAAACTTTTATAAAAAACCCCAACCAATTACCCCCAACAATAAGTCAATAACATTGTGATTTACCGGATGCAATCATGCAATATAATTTTACTTGCATTAAAACACACATGAGGTTTACAAAAAACATACAGTCGTTCACAAACAAAATTGGCTTTCCTGACAAATTAAACTATAACCGAGATTCCAGACGAGGTGATAGAGAGCCCAGAGAGTGAAATTTCACCAGAAAGGTTGTTGTAATTCACATTGAGAATCTCCAATGCCTGCATGTTCCACAAGTCGTTGGGGAGCGTTCCCATCAACTAGTTATTAGAGAGGTCAAGCCATGAAATCCTGCAATAGGCGTACAGGCATAAGGAATTAATGGTCCCGGAAAACATATTTTGGGAGAGCTGAAGAACCCAAATGAGCGGACTAATTGATGGTACAGTCCCTGATAAGTTATTATGCCCGGCATCAACAATCCCAATGGAAGTGGACGACAGATCTGGGATTGTGCCAGTAATCTGATTACGAGACAGGTTCAAGTATCCCAGAGACATATTCCATAGCCATTGAGGAGCTTCATCAGATATACCAGCATTACAAATGTCCAGATTAACAACATACCCCCTTTGTGTCTGAACTCATTCAGGGAAAGAAGGGCCGATTTTGCAGTTTGCCAAGTATATAAGACGCTACTTGAAAGACGGGATCCAGTTTTTGCTGAACTCCAACTTCAATCTATTAAATGATAAATCTATGTACCTTAAGTTGCTAAGGCCTATGAAGTAGGTTTCCGAGAGTGTTCCTTGTAATGAATTATGTGAAATGTCGAGGTGTTCAAGCTTGGAAAGACCGGCGGTGGGAGTCTCTAGTGTTATGAGTTTAATAAATCCTCAAGAGGTCCTCCCATGTCATTATGGGAGAGGTCTAAGTCTACCAAACTTAAATTCCCTAGAGACTTCGGGATCTGTCCTTCAAACATGTTGTCATGAAGATTCCAGAAAAAACAGCTTCTCAAACGCGTCTGGGATTGGACCACTAAACTGATTTCCTGACAGGCCTATATAAGCAAGACTTGCACTTGTGTTAAACAACAACCATTGTAATGTGGTGGAAGAAGTGAGCTTGTTTGATGACAGATCAAGGGTAGATAGCGATGATGAGGTCGAAGAGTTGACACGGGCGAGACCTCGGCCGAATGTGATATCTGTGATCCCACAACTTACGATGGACAATGTGTCAAGAGAGGGAAAGCTCAGCACGTGGTGTAGCCAAAGCAAATTGGCGTCTTCACTTGTGTTCATGTGATCCAAAACAAGACGAGACAACGATGATAAATGAGAAAGCCAATAGAGGTTTCCTGACCGAATGCCGTAGTTGCCTCCAAGGTCAAGCGTCTGCAACTGTGTAAGGTTCCCTAGCTGAGGAGGAACCACCCCGGAAAAGTTGGAATAACTGAGATCCAACAGCTGTAAAGCTCTAATGGAGCCGATGAATTCGGGGATTCTTGTTCCTCCAAAATCATTATAACTCGGAACTAAATGATTCAAATGATGCAATTCGAGCAAGGCGGGACTGATCTTGCCTCCCATTGGAAACGTCGAAGTAGTCAAACCCCCAAGCTGGAGGGCAGTCACATGACCTGTGACGTTGTCACACACGACGTGCTTCCATTGGCAACATTCATTTTTGTCGGCCTCACTTCCCCACGTTGACAACATACGGTCATCCGTATCTGTGAAGCCTTCCTTCAACTTCAGAAGTGCCTCTCTTTCCCTCTCTATGCACCTCGTTTCTCCTAATACAGACTTCAAGTGACATGTGATCATGCATGCAGAAATAAGAACAAGCAGCCATGTAGGAAACCCCATCTTTTCTCTTTTAGAATTTTCTTTTAGAAATAAGAACAAGCAGCCTGGGAGAAAGAACCATCTTGGTAGTGCATGTTTGTGGAAAAGGTCAAAGTCAACCTTGATGACTAGTCTACGTGACTGCGCCTCACCTACTGCTCCTGCTGCTTGATGGACAATCCACAATCATCATCATCATTAATTTATTAAGTACTACTACCTCCGTCCCATTTTATGTGTCTTCTTTGCTTTAGGCACAATTTTTAATAAAGTGGTTGAAAAGGTAAAAGTTGGGGTTGAGATTTGAGTATAGTAAAGTGAAATGTTATGAACCACATATTTCTTTCCAACAAGGGAAAGATGACACTTATTTTGGGACAACTCAAAAAGGAAAGTAAGACGGTTCAAAAGATATAAAAGTTATACCCTTGGAATCAGCCACAACTGATTAACCACAGTTGCAATTCCAAGATCAATTCAACCCCTGAGTAAAATGAAATTATAGATTTTCAAAGATGAACCGTCTTAAAGACAAACATTATTATCAATGAACAAACATCAATTTCAGAAATTCCATCACTGACAAAATAAATAAAAAATCAAAGCTCAGGTCAAAATATTTTCAAATTATTAGTCAAGGATAGAGTGTAGAAACACCAACATAGTCAAGCTCTAAATATAAAAATCTCGATACTTTCAAAGTTACTATCGTAAAATCTTGTTGAGTCTTGGAAAGCTAACTACTAATCATTTAGTGGGAGCAAAAAATTACACCAAGTATCAGGTTCCTCAAGATCTATTTTCAATATCACCAAGGGAATGAAGCGTATTTTGGGAGATATTTCACAGAATGTGAAAAATGATGGAGTTTTTCCGAGTCTTGACAATTATAATGTTTTTTTTTGCGGGGACAATTATAATGTACTCCCTCAGTCCCGCTATGATTGTCCCATTTTACCATTTCGATCCGTCCCACTAAGATTGTCTCATACCTCATTTGGTAAAGTTGGTGTGGTTCTAAATCATTCCTACTTTATTCTTACTTTATAAATTCAATATCAACCACATAAACCCACTTTTATTAATAACCGTGTCACCTTCTCTTGTCCCAAACTTAGGGGGACGGAGGTAGTACTAATCAAAGAATCAGCTTATTTGTGTAATAATTTCAAAGTAGAAGCTATTGAAGTGGTTAACTATGAATTTTTATCCTATTTTTAATATAGATTTCAATTAACCCATGGACGCAAGGAATATCAAATTTTAATCTAATTGAGCATAAGATTACCTTATTCTATTGAATAAAATTGTCTATTTTTCTTCAATCCATGTTCTTTGATGGGGTATTTCTTCGAGGTTGTTGTAATAGTTGTGGTTTGTACTTACCTGGAGTGACGAAATGCATATGGACAACTGAGCAAAACAAAAACTTTAGATGAATAACGTAAAATAAACAGAGGCCGAATCAAATTAAAAAGGAACTCAATCAATTAAAGATTTAAACTTACATGATTAGTTCAATTGAACAAACTCTCTTTTTCATCTTGATTGGTACTCGTGAATGCAGAAAATGCCTTGTATCAGACTATCAATCAAATCACTTGACGTTTTAGCAATTTTCAAACATATTAAGGTTTTATACATTAAAAAACTACTTTGCCCTTCTTTATCAAACTTTTATAGTCTCTCTAATCTTTTTCTGTCATTTTCTATTCTAGAAGGGATTAAAAAAGAGTAGTTGGGGAAGAAAGGAGAACATTGTACATTGGAACCTGAAGAACTACATTTATTCGGGGACAAAAGTATGAAGCCAGAACATCAAATAAATTGGGCAGAGGGAGTTTATATCTAATTATATAATAATTAACTAAATGGGAGTTAGTTTAACATAGGATAAAATTTGCTCAAAAGTGGCTTAATGTTACACTGGAGTAATATTTAATACGGAGTATCATCTGAAAAAGGATGCCAAAACAGATGAAAGAAAATAAGGTGTTAAAAAACAAACTACAAAAAGCCAATTTTCTTGAACAGCTAGAATTTCATGGAATATTTTTTTTGAATTATAACCTATGATCCAAACATGTTGGATTTTAAAAAGAAGCTTAAATTATTCCCTAATAGCTGAAATGCGGGTTTCCGACACATGCTTTCAGTCTATATCTTAATAAAGAATCTATTAATAATCAAGATAAAGACTAAGCATTCCAAAGTCCTCCCATCCAAAACATATATTAAAAGACCCTAAAAAATGTTTTGACTGCAAAGTTCATACTATATCCCTCACCTGTTGAATTCAGAATCTGCAGGACCAGTTGCATCATATTTTAAATCCTTAACATGTGACCTTGTCTTCTCTTCTGTATTCTTTTCTGACGTGGTTACAATGATATCTTCTTTAAATGTGTTGTCAAAGTCATCCTTGTAATACTTCTATATCAACAAAATATTGAAAAGATCGGCAATTCAAGACACAAGAATGTTAGGTAGAAAGACTGCATGTTATCTAAAAGATTTATAGCAACCTACTTTCTAGAGATCTCAAGCTTTCTCTGCCCGATCCATTGCAATACTGGTGAAATAGGCTTATGCACAACTGGTATAGGCTTAACCGCTTAAATGAGGCATCCCTTTTTTCTATTCCCTGTATAAGAGGTAGATGCAATTATATGTAAGATTAGAGTTTGATTTTGAAGAGAGCCGCCACCTTAGTTAAGAAATGAAATCAGCACAGTGAAGATGGAGGGAGGTGTAAAATTTAGACCTGTACAAAACCGGGCCGGCCCGCCCAGCCCGCCCGCACAAATTAGCGGGCTTGGGCATATATATTTACCCACCGGCCCGGCTCGTGCCCGGCCCGCAACAACATATGGGCGGGCTTGGGTTAGGGTGTAGGCCCGTTCGGGCCGATAAGCCCGGCCCGCTACATTTAGTATATATACATATATATTTTTATATATACTAATTTATGTATTTATTTACATGTACACATGTATGTTTTTATATTTACTAATTTATCTGTATACATATTTATAGTTTATTATGTTTAAATTTAAATTTTAGTTCTTAACAAATAGTCCAACTAATATAATATCTATTTTTGTCCTTAATGATAATACTTTGTGTATGAATTTTAAATTTTAGATATAGTTTCTCATTATTATTTTTGTGTAAATATTTTTTGTGTATGTGATGAAAGGCCTATATACATTATAAGTGTATTAGCAATTTTTTAAATGTTGTAATATTATTTGTAAAGTATTAAATAAATTATATAATTTTGAGAAATTTAAAGTCTTCCCGGGCCCGGCGGCCCGGTGGACTACCCGGCCCGCTCTTACGGGCGGGTATGGACATGGGGTTAGGCCCGTTTTTGCGGGCCGGGCCAGGCCCGCCCACACACGATGGGCAGAAAACTTATGAAAAGCCCGGCCCGAACCCGCTTTTGTGCAGGTCTAGTGAAATTGAAAGGAGATGAAAGCTGAGGGGATTGACCTGAAAGGCAAAGGATGAAAAGTGTAAGATAAACTAAATAGACACAATGTAATAGGGTAACATATAGACAGTAACATAAACTAAATAGACACAACGAAATAATTCTAATCAGACTAAATGATTAAGTTTGATTTCAAGTAAACTATACAATTGATAGGCCCATTGGACTGCTGGAGTCTTATTATTTTCACATATAATTATTATTATTATTTCCTTTGTTGTAGTTATTGGCTTACGGTTAGTTACCACTAGGCAGTTGCATTTGTTTACAGTTTTAGATATTGGCTTTGTGGGGGGAGACCACTATGCACGTAGGAGTGGAACTCCTCTGTATTTCAAGTGTTTAAATATGTGCTTGCATCCATGTAATAGGGGAGGAAAAATATATCGAGATCGTCTCTTCTAGTCTTCTGCTATTCTTATTCTTCTTCCTGACTTTTTCTTTATTCAATTGCTCCTGGGTTTTATGGATTGGTATCAGAGCCGATGGATACCCGAGGGAAAACCAACGCTGAGTTTCGGAACGAAGTTAACGAAGCACTGGGCCGACATGAATCTTGCTGGATCAACTCACGGCAGCCCTACAGGCAGTGACGGCCGAGTTACAAGCAGTGAGCCGGCGCCTCAATCGTGATCCCTCCGCCATGGATATTAACATTAACCCCTTTGCAAATGGAGAAACCAGCCGCCCCACTCCCCGGCCAAACGAACCGAAAGCGGTGTTTCCGAAATTTTGCAGGTGGTGACCCTACCGGATGGATATACCAAGTGGAGCAATATTTCGAGTTCTATGGTGTGACTCCTGAACGATAACTTGGCTTAGCCGCCATGAATCTGGAAGGATTAGCACTACAATGGTTTCGCTGGATGACCAAGCGTCGGGGCCCAATTTCCTGGGCAGAATTTGTGAGGTCCTTGCGGCTGCGCTTTGGACCAACTGAATACGAAGATCCGTCTGAGGCTCTTTCTCGTCTCAAACAAACCACTACAGTTGCTGTTTACGAAGATCCGTTTGAGCAACTTAGCCACCAGATAGACGATCTTCTTGAACCATTTGTGATCGGTTGTTTCGTCGGCGGACTCTTGCATCTTCACCTTTGCAGGTCTCAACAGCACCATTAACTTTTCCTTTAAGTTCAATGTCCCAGAGTGGAGATAAATCACGCTGAATTACAACATCATCATCTAAGAAAACCACTTTATCCAGATGAAATTTAGTAGACTATGTCCGGTCGTCGCGATTTGGGGCGGTTCCCGGTGGAATTTTTTGATGAAATTTTTTGAGCATCTTATTCATGAGCACCCTTTTCCTTCGACCCCCCTCTTTCCTTTCCCCTCTCCCTTTTCCCCCTTCCCTTCCCCTCTCCCTTTTCCCCCTTCCCTTCGACCCCCCCTCTTTCCTTTCCCCTCTCCCTTTTCCCCCTTCCCCTCGACTCCTGCCCCCCCTACCCCCCCTGGGGAGGTTTGGCACCACACGGCGCCACCGAGGCAGCATAACACCCCCCGGGCGGCTTAGGACGGCATGGAGGCAGCATGGCGCCCCACCGCCCTAAACCTAGCCTAGCCTAGCCCTAATCTATCTAAAACTAGCCTAGCCTAGCCTAGCGCTAACCTAAACTAACCTACCTAAGACTAATGGCCCCCAAAGGGGGAGCCGGGGCCGGCCCCAAAGGGTGGCCAGCCCAACCCAGCGGGATTAGTCCCGAAGGGTGAGCTAGTGAGTCACTGTACTCTCGTATTTATAGAGACTCCCAAGGAATCGCTCGGACAACGGGATCGATGTGGGAAAAATGAAAAATGAAATCTGGATCGGTGTGGGATCGGTGTTTAACAAAAATGAAAAATGAATAATGAATACTTACTGCATCTTGTCTTCTCTTCTTCCCGTAAGCACAGCAACAGCTCCTCCCTCTCTGTCTGGCCCTGGCCGGCCTCCTCCACCAAGGCTGACGAGAAGAAATGTCATCCGCTAAACCGCCGCCGCCGGATCGATGAGCTGAGGTGGTGGTCCGCCGGTATCGCTTCTCCCGGCCAAGAAGCGTAATAGTAATGTCGATCTGACTGAGGTAGTTGAGGATGAGATAGCAGATGCTCTCTCCGGCATGTCCGTATAATTCTTCGGAAGGAAAGGAAACGAAGGAAATGATCTTGAGGTTCATTCTGTGGGAGTGGGAGTGGGGGTGGGGGTGTATGTAGGACTGTAGTAGTGGGAATAGGAGCGAGCAGCTTTGTTGACGGATGCACTAGTTTATTTCATTTTATTCAACTTCTAAATACTATCGTATAATGTAAATGAGATTTGAGCATTACAATTAATAATGAAAACTAAAAATACCGCATAAAAAATCGATTAGTAGTATTTTAGGAAATGTCAAAAAATTAAAATGCCGCCGTTAATAATTTCATTTTCTCCGCCCCTCAAATTAAAAGTCTAAACATTTATATTAGAATATGAAAAATAAAAACATTTTGTTCTTCAACCTATTAATGAAGAAACTTTTTTTAGTGACTAAAGACTATTGCTTTGTTGGGGTGTAGTGACTATGTGCACTTGGTTGGAAATTTCAAAAAATAAAAACCTCCCAGGGTTGGGACACTTGACCTTCAATCTGCCACTGCGGCTAGTTGCTTCTCCGGAAGGCTCGTCAATTCTTGTACCTTTTTACAAGTAAGATTTTTATCAAAGAGTTGTTAATTATTAATTAATTATATTATTCCTTCTCACAATTCATACATTCTAGTACAGTAAAACTATTATTATACGGACTAGTTCCCTATTATCATCTTCCAAATATACTAAGATTTTTAAGATGTATATCTAAGGCCCGATGTGTTTTTAATTTTTTCAAATCATTATACTTTGATATAATGCCCATTTAATAATCGGTATTAGCTGATGTACAGTAGTTTACCACCCCACGTAAAATATTTTACATGGTACAATGTAAAATATTTTAAAAAAAGGTGTCCTACAGTTTACATCAAATGATTGAAACAAACAGTGTAAAATGTTTACTTCCCCACACTTTGCATGCAAAATGTTTACTTTACACCTTACCAAACGGGCCCTTACTTCTTTATATAATAATTCATAATCTCTCAGTCCAAGATAGAATATGATTCTTTTATTTCCATGAGTTGCGTGGAAAGTACTTTGGCTTGAAATTTGCATATGCAGAGCATCTAATTGAACATCAGGGACGGAACTATGTTTATGTCTAAGGGGGCCTTTGCCCCTCCCAACATTCTTATTTTTTGAATTAATGGCTTGTAATATCTTTTTTTTGCCCCCCTCCCCTAAATCTGTATTTCCTCTAATAGTATAGTAATTCAAAAAATATGTTTATGTTTATAGTCTATACTTTGTACTACATTTATAATTTTTCAATACTTCATTAAAATATCGTATGTATAAGAACACTATATATTCTAGAAGTAGTCATTTTGGAAAATATTAATCTATAACAACACTATACTTTGAAGAGGTGATTATTACCTCATAAATATTACTTGGTACTCTGCATGTAAAAATATATTATTAATAACATATTATGGAGTAGTATTGGAGATCTCCGTCTTAAAGTATCTAATATAAAAGAGTTATAAGAAAAAATTGGGATAATAATTTAATAAACTTTAAGAAGAGTATATTATGTAATAGCATTTTGCCCCCCCCCCCCCCCCCCCCCCCACACCCTCACATCCTGGCTCTGCCCCTGTTGAACACAGGTGCTGGTTATAAGGTTGGAGAACACTTGAGTCATACAACTCAAGTGGTGTATTTATATCTTTATACACAAATAATTGAAGCTTTTGTTCAACTGTAATGAGTCTCTATTTGCATTTCTTTTTAGGCAGAGCATTTAAGAATTACGTAGTCCGTGTGAATTCGCTAGTGGGGTATGTTCTTGACAAAGAAAGCGGGCTAAGAAAATGGAGTCAGAAATCCTTTAAAATCCATATACTTCTACGATATAGAATTCCACAAGATGGAGTCTATGGAATTTTATTAGAATCGGTAGAATCTATAGTCATTTAAAATCATTCAAAATCTAGACTGGGAACACCCCCTTTAGTATAGAGATTAGAGATAGGCCGTGTCAATGCGTGATCCCTCTTTTAGTTAGGGGTGGACTCGGGCCGGGCCAACCGGCCCGGAACCGGACCGGCCTGCTACTGTGCGGGCCCAGACCGGCCCGGTGAACCGGTTAGTGCCCGGTTCGGGCCACCCGGCCCGGTGAGAAAGCGGTCCGGGCCCGGGCCTGCTATATAGTGAACCGGCCCGGCCGGGCCCGGTCCGGGCCTCAACGGTCACTTTTTTTAAAAAAAAATAAATAAATTGGTAAAGGCTCTAATAGCCGTTGGGAGAGCTCCCAAACGGCTCGATAGCCATTGGGAGCATAGGAGGGGGGGGTCTGGGGGGGTGGGGTGGGGGTGGGGTATACAAAAAAAACCTATTTATACTCCTATTTTCTATACATTTTTTACACCTCTACTTCTACAACTCTTCCTACTCTCTAATTCCCTATTCTCTCAATCTCTCATATTCAATCATCTTCATTCTTCATCTTCTCCAAATTCTTTCTACATATATATAATTTATATAGTTATTATATCTACTTATATATTAATTATCTACTTATAAATATATACTTATACACATTCATATTATAATTCTTTACACATTATATATACTATATATAGTTATACACATTCATATTTACTTGATATTTAGTTATTATCCATACTATTGTTATTTACTTATATTTCCATATTACATTTAGTTAATATATACTTATATATATATATATATTAAAGTATTAAGTATAAGTGTATTACTCATCTTATAGTAATATACTTATATATTATATACTATAAACATTATATTATATATTACTTATAATATATTTACACATTATATATACTATATATACTTATACACATTCATATTTATTTGATATTTAGTTTTTATCCATACTATTGTTGTTTACTTATATTTACATATTACATTTAGTTAATATATACTTATATATATATATATATATATATTAAAGTATTAAGTATAAGTGTATTACTCATCTTATAGTAAATAATATACTTATATATTATATACTATAAACATTATATTATATATTACTTATAATATATTTACACATCATATATACTATATATACTTATACACATTCATATTTATTTATTAAAGTAGTTAATTGTTAGACTTGTCATTTATCTATTAAATTAGTTAATTGTTACATTTCTTTACATTTCTCTTTAAAGAAAAAAAATAGTTACTTGTTACATATCATTTATCATTTAACATTAGTTAAACTAGTTACTTATTTAATTGCTACATTCCTCATTAAAGTAAAAAAAGTAGTAAGTTTTTACATTTGTCATATTAATATTAGTTAAAGTAGTTAATTGTTACATTTGTCATATTAATATTAGTTAATTGCTACATTGCTCATTAAAGTAAAAAAAACTAGTTAATTTTTATATTTGTCATATTAATATTAGTTAAACTAGTTAATTGTTACATTTCTCATATTAATATTAGTTACTTGCTACATTTCTCATTCAAGTAAAAAAAGTAGTAAATTTTTACATTTGTCAACTAGATATTAGTTAAAGTAGTTAATTGTTACATTTGTCATATACTCATATTAATATTAGTTAAAGTATACATTTCTCATTAAGGTAAAACGAACTAGTAAAATTTTACATTTGTCATTTTAAAAACTAGTTAAAGTAGTTAATTGTTACATTTGTCATATTAATATTAGTTAATTGCTACATTGCTCATTAAAGTAAAAAAAAAAAAAAACTAGTTAATTTGATATAATTTGAATCGCTATAATTTCTTCAATCCGATTAAACTTCAAGAAAGTTATTCAAATTTGTAATTAATTTCATCGAATACCTCACCTTGGCGTCTTGGCGATCGACTAGGCAGCGTGTAACTATGGCTATGGATTAAATTCCAACATCCGTGAGATACCCCTGATTTCATGTCGAATAAGGCTTGGCAGCAGCCTTGCCTTCGGGAAGTCAAAGACTAGGGCCGCTTGGGGCTTCTTTCCCTCGATCGGCCGCCCCAGACGGCGGGTCTTTCTCTTTTTCTTTTCTGGGGAAGGTGATCCGAACTCTTGCCTCTTCTCTCTATTTAGATGGTACGGTCACTACGGTGGAATAAGAATGTGTTAGGAGGATAGGTAACTTTTGGAAGAGTGGATGGCGCTGAAGAAGAATACAAAAATCTATACTTAATTGCTTTTTTTGTGTGAATATGGTGCTAGGCACTGTAGATAACTCTATTTTAGATAATACCGTATGTGGCTCATAATCAAAGGTTACCGTTCTTATTAATAGCCTTTTTGGTGACAAATATTTTTATTTTATCACCCTTATTCGCCGATTTTTTATCGAACATGTAACATTTGAAGTCCGTGTGGTAATATTGAAATCAGCTCAATAAGTTGATTGTACTGAAATTTAGGAAGTTTTTGAGTGATATGACTGAATTCGCTGATTCTGTTGATTTATGAAAAATATATTTAAAAAGTATTTTATTAATAAAATAAATAAAAACAATTATATCAAAAAATAAGTTAAAATCGTGTTCTAAATTAACTTCAACCAATATAATTATGAAAAAATTATATTTCAGTGGATTCAGCCAATTCAACCGATTCAACTGAGATTAGCTACATCAGTTGAAATTCATCAAGTTATGACTCAAATGACATCTTTGTTCAAGTTAGGTCAATTAGTACACATAATTCAAGTCCCGTTTGGTAACACTTAAATTGGCCCAATCAGTTCATTACGTTGAAATATATGAAATTTCATAAATTTCATAAGTACAAAAATAAAATAAAATAAAATAAAATAGAAATATATGAAAAATAGTTAGGTGATAAGGCTCATCCTATTTTTTTTTAAAGAGCAAGATCCTAATTTCATACCTCACAGCTTCATGACAAACCAAATGTGATTTCATCGCCCAACGCTGCTAAATTTGTTTTACTTATCCTCATTTTGTTATCATCAAGGATTTTTTTTAATGTTTAATATAAAACAATTGAGATGCATGACAAATGCAGGGGGGAATGCATACATACAACCTAGAAACATCATGGTAAGTGAGCATGATAACAATTATCCTCAACAAATGCAAAGCCAGGCTGAATTATTAAAAAGGTTTCGCCCAACACAATTCGTGTTGGGTAGTGGCTC